CCCCTTCCTTTCCTCCTTCCTTCCCTTCCTTCTCTCCTACATTCTCTCCTTCCTTCCCTCCTTTCTTCTCTCCTTCTCTCCTTCCTTTCCCCCTTCCTTTCCTCCTTCCTTCCCCCCTTCCTTCTCTCCTACATTCTCTCCTTCCTTCCCTCCTTTCTTCTCTCCTTCCTTCCCTCCTTCCTTCTCTCCTTCGGATGGATCTTCTGGGGAGCCCTTCTGCCCTCTTGAAGCAAAGGCAGCTGGCATTCCTTGGGCTTCCTCGCTCATCACAATCACACAATTCCCAGGAAGCCTTCCCTACCCCTCCCTCTGCACCTCAGAAGGGAGAATTGTCTAGGTGGATGGATGGGGGGGGGGAGTCTTTTGAACAGGAGGGAAGATAAATGCGATAAGGAGGGATTTTAATTCCAAGGGAAGTTATATTTTTTTAAATGTCATCTTATTTTCACTCCTTCGCATTATTTTAAGCAAATCTATCTGCCCCGCAGTCATTTTCTTGGCTGGGTCAGCCTCTCTGAGCCATAAATTACGGCTGCCTGCGGAGAAAGGTAGATTTCATTTTTCACACTTTTGGAATGATTATCGAGCACTTATTTCATCTTTGGTTACTAGCTGGAATAATTTCAGAGCTCTTCTTGGCACTCAATTGAAAATTTATTGTTTGAGAAACTGTGGCAGAAATCGGGTTGATTGGTCAAGATCTGTTTTTTTTTTTTTTAACACGTTTAGTTGGCCGGGGAATGTGGTGGACCACAACAAGGTCTCCCGCGAGATCCTAGTCAAAAGGTAACAAAAGGTGGTCTAGATAACAGAACAGCAGCCTTGGAAGGGACCTCGGAGGCCTTCTAGTCTCTCCCATTGCTCAAGGCAGGAGGCCTTATAGCATCCCACTCAAATGGCTCTCCAGTGAGCTCTTGAAGACCTCCGGGGATGGAGGCAACTTCTGTTCCTCTGCTTAATTAACAGAATAACAGAGTTGGGAGGGACCTCGAGAGGTCTTCTAGTCCAACCCCCAGCTCAAGCAGGAGATCCTATGCCCGTGATGGCAAACCTATGGCACGTGTGCCCGAAGTGGCATATGGAGGAGCCTGACACATGCGGTGCGCCCCTTCCTCTTCTGGGTTCGTAGAGGACCAGCTGGCCTTCGCGTGTCAGGCAGTGCTGGAAACTGGAAGAGCTGGTCTCCCATTTTCCGGCGTGAGTATGTGTAACTGGAAATCTAGTTGTCTGGCACACCTGCGACCACCGGAAACCAGAAGTGCATTTTCCAGCATGCCCATGCCCCCTAGGCAGCTCCTCTTCCAGGTGGCCCAGGCGCTCTTAGTGCCGAAAGGGTTCCCCATCCCTGCCCTGTGCCTTTCCAGCCTCTTCCTGAAAGCCTCCAGNACCACTGCGCCACCTCGGCTCTGGAAGGATAGTCCCAAAGGGGGGGACTGCTTGGCTGAACCTCTGTGGAGATTCTCAGTCGTCCAGGCCACGGCTGTCCCGGGGGGGCATTTCTTTCAAAAGGCAACTGGAGGTCAGTTTCCCTTCTCACCCGAGAATGCTGGGCAATGGAAGGACATAAACCCTCCGGCCCCCCCACCATTCAGCCAGAACTGAATTTCAGAAAAAACAAAGAAAGTCCCGTTGCCTTTTGAAAAAGCACCCCTGGAACAGCTGTTTGGCTGGGTCTGGCCAGGAATCCTTCAAGTGTCCTGCTCCCTCTCCTTCCCAAACTCCCCTTCCCCAACAAACCAGGCGCCGGAAGCCCCCTGATGTGACCATCAAGTCCACGAGATGCCCAAATCAGGGCACCAAACAAGGAGACCCCCCCCCCTCTTCAGAGTCTGGGAGCAAATGTGGCTGAGGACGGGGAGAAGAACCTGCACCCATGCTCGGCTCCCAGCCACGGGGGGAAACCTGTGCTTTTTACAGGAGTGTCAGCTGCTACGGCTCCCCCCCCTCCCCTGCCCAGTGTTGCTAGGCTTCGCAGTGGGGGAGGGACACACACACCCTTCTCCCTCCAGCCCTCTGGGGGAACCTCTGGGCCTTGAAGCCCAGGCCACCTCAGCTTGCTCTGGGGCGGACAGTGCTTTGTGTAGGCCCTCAAGGGAGACGTTGGCAGGGAGAGGAAAGCAGGTTGTTAGTCCAACGTCTTCGTGGAGAGGAGCATTTCAGAGGGCCCAGGGGGGAGGGGGGGAGGCCGGAGCCCTCTGATGGGGCTGCAGAGGCTCTTTCTCACCCGCCACGGGCTGCCCCAGAGCCAGGGGAAAGGGCCGGCAGCTCCTTCGGAGAGGCTAATGTTTGGGCTCTGTCTGAAAAGTTGGTGCTTGTGGGCAGCTCCCTCTTCCCACCCTGCCAGGCGCCCCTTCTGGCCACTAGGGAGCAGGAGGGGGGGGGAAGCATTCGGGAGGGGTCTCAAAGGGGGCCCTGTACCTGCAGGCGTCTCCTCGGCCGAAGTCCAGCTGGGCTCCTGGGCCAGATCCTTCAAGCACCTCCGGCGCATTTCCCTTTTCTCCCTCAGGACGTTTTTGAAGTTGCTGATGCATTTGTTCAAGTAAATGGTCTCCGCACACACCTTCTCCAGGCTCAGGGGCCTCTGCTCAGGAGGGTCCGCCGGCTGGGCAGGCTCAGCGGGGAAGGGCTGAACCGCACAACCCCCGGAGTCCGCGGGGACCACCGCAGGGAGGGCAGGGGCCTCCTCGACAGAGGGGGAAGCGCTCGGGAGGCTCCTCTGCGGGGAGCCCACACTGTCGCTGCTCACGGCCGTGTTGGCTGGGCTGTCCGAAGATAGGCTGGGCGGGGTCTCGGCCACCGTCTCCAGGCTGGTGTGCGCCTCCGACACCGGCTCGCTTGCCCCAGGGAAGCCCTGGTCCCCTCCGAGGACGGCCTCCGAGTCGGGCGTCTCCAACTTGTGGAAGACCACCTGCAGGGCGGAGCGGAAGTGGTTGAGCGCTTTGCCCAGCTTGTTGGTGTAGAACCTCATGTCCACCAGGTCGACGTTGCCCTGCGAATGCTGGAGGAAGAACTGGGAGTTCTCCAAGACGTCCCGGAAGACGTGATCGGTGGGATCCTGCTCGTTCAGCTCGATCTCGATCATGTCCTTGAGCGTTTCGCTGCTGCCCATTAACTTCTGCATGGCGGCCTCACAGCCCGGCAGGATCCCGTCCTTGTGGGGTGCCTCCTCCTCCTCCTCCTTCTCCTCCTCCTCCAGCTTGACCTGCTCAGGACTGAGACTCTGACAGTCGGCCTCCCTCGGCCCTGAAACCGGCCCTCCTGCTTTGCCCACACCTGTGGGAGAGGGGGAGGGGTCCTTGGCCACGTTCTCAGCCTCTGAGCCGTGGCCCCTTCCTTTCTCGGGAGCGGCTTCCAAGCCCCTGAGGTTTAAGAGTTCCCCCAAAGGCCAGGACTTCCCCATGTGGCTTTTTGAGACCTCCAGCAGCTTCTGGGGGGCTTCAGAGACGCAGGCGGGAGTGTGGTTTTTGTGCAACGTCTGCTCGTTGCTGCTGATGATCTGTACGACCCTCCCCACCTTTTCCTCAAGTTCAGAAATTAAGCTGCTCTTCTTGGCCAGAGTGGACTTTTGTGGCAAGCTGGCCTTCTCGTGAAGCGGGTGGTTCTCGTGGCTTTGCTTCTGGCGTTGAGCCTGGCAGGAGTCCTTCTGCAGCTGAACGCCCCCATCCCTTCCCCCTCTGTCTCCCTGAGGGTTGGGGAAGTCCCAGGGCTGGTGTCTCTGGCCAGAGGACGGCAACACAGCCAGCTGCCCACCGAGACTCACTGGGCTGTGCTGCTCAGCAATGGTTATTCCTGCGTCCTGCAAGAGGATGGACTTCTGGAGGATGAAGTCTCGGTGCTCGGCCGTGGCGAGTTTCACAACAGCCGGGCGAGGCGCAAACGGGACCCCCGTGGAAGCCCCCGATCTGTAAGCCTCCTTGATGTTCTTGCTGCGCTGGAGGCCGTTGAAGCAATGATACTCGGACAGGAAGCGGCAGACGAGGTCCTTCGTGTTCTCCCCCTCCTGCTCAGGGATGCCGTAAAAGTACAAGACCGGCTCCTTGGTGGGGGCGCCGACCAAGGCTCCGGGCCCTCTCAGCACAGCGGAAGTTTTGGTGGCGGTTCCTCCGCTGCTCTGCAGGCCCTCGATCTCGCTCAAGACGGAGTCCACGCAGGTGGAGACTTCGTCCACCGACCCCTTGATCAAGGTCAGGTGCTGCTGAAGCTCCGCAATCTCGGTCTGAATGCGGCTTATTCCTCGCAGCTCTTTCACAATGTAATCAATGACGTCGGCAGAGCGGTCCCGGTTCCTGGCAGGGCAGGTGGGTTTACTTGAAAGAAGGGGCTCCTCCTCGGCAGCTACCCTGCACCCTGTGCCAATGCCCAGCCGTGAGAGGCTCTTGCCCGGCTCCGCGGGGTCCTCCACAACCAGTGCCTGGGGCTCCCTCCTGCAGGAGGCCTTGACACACCCACCCTGGGACGGCCGGGCCTCCTTGGCCTCATCTTCCCCTGCCTCCCTGCCTCTGCCATTCTTCTCCGGGCTGGCGGGAACGCCCAGGCTGGGGGCCTTCCACTGGCAGGCAAAGGGGGCTCCTTCCATCTCCATCAAGGGGAACAGAGTTTGCGGCTTCTGTCCCAGGGGGAGCTCCCGGGGCGTGGCCGGGAGGAGCTTCTTCATCCCCCCAAAGAGCCCAGCCAGGCAGCGTCTCCGAGCAGCAGCCGAGTTTTCCGACACGGAGCCAGTCCTCTCTTCTGCAAATGGGCATAATCCACAGCCAGCCTGGTTCTCGCGGACTCTTCCAGGAGGCTACAGAGCAGCTGAGGGCAGAGCCCCTCCCTGCCTGGGCAGGCGGCCCTCGTGGCCAGAGCTTCCCATGGCCCAGAACACGGCTGTCAAGAGAAGGGACAGAAACATGGGTGGCTGGTCAGGGGAGAGAAAACATACACACACACACAGACAATAGCCTTGGCCATAGAATCAACCAAATTGCTCCTGCATCCATTAGACAAGCAAGTGGTGAAGCACAGAAGGGGTCCTGCGGTCAGTCCGTGGGGGGGGGGGACCCTCCATGCCCCCTCCTCCTTGGCCCACCTCTAAAGGAACCGTCACTTTTTCACTACCAAGTTTTAAGCCCCACTTTTTCCTCTCTTTTTCCCTCCCAGGTACCCTACTCTGAGCACCGATGATTGGACGTTGGTTCCTTCAGGTGCTGCCCTTCCTCCTCCCAGGATGGTGTCCCTCCGGTCAGCAGGGGAGCCCCCA